CTCTCAACTCCTCTCACTCTCGGCTCTCTCACTTTCTCGCACCTCTCCCGCCGAATCATTGTACTTGCTGAACGTCCCTGCAATATCAACCCTTTTCAGTTTTTACCATCCACAGGTGATAACTGAATGGTGCAACCATCTTGAATCATGGTTGGTATATCTGATGGCTGACTTGATGAGGTGGAGACGAAAAGGGTATTTGACAGATGGGTTCCAAATCCAGGTAACAGGGTCTGGTGTCTGAAGATCTTCAGTGCGTTTGAAGTTGAACTTGTATTAAAAAAGAGGTAAATAGTAGTTTCCCTCTGTAAGTCCTTCTGTTGTGCCCATGTAATCTCTGTTCCAACATATGGTTGGTGGTGAGGCACATAGACGCCTTGGATAAAAGTTGGACACACTTAATTTTTGTGGCATCGCGGTAGTTGGTGGAGTGTCACTGTTTGGAAGGTGAGTCCTGGTTGGTCCAGCTTGAGCTTTGATGACATGTTGGCCGTCCCGATTGACTTTGCTGGATGATTTCTGGGAAGAATCTCCAACTGGTAGGTGGCACTGTATCATCGTGGTTCTGGGGTAAGACAAACTGTAGGGTCCTTTTCTACAGGGTCTTGACAAGCAGAGCCACAAAGCTGGGACATATATGCTTCGCTTCTTCTAAAAGGGCTTGTTCCAAGAACGGATAATTCCCGCTAAGGAGGGATAACAAGAGGCTTTCGTTACCCTTTTCTTCTATTAATTTTCTGAAGGATTATCTAGCTGAGGCCCTCTGATATCTGCTTGTGATTCTTGGCTTGAATGAATTAGAATGAAATGAAAATGCGTTTAGCCTTCCTCTTCTGCCCTTGTAAGGCTGCTCTCCTTGCAATTTAGCTTCTTCTGCTGCCTTCTTCCTCTGCAATTTTTTAGCTTCTGCCGTAGAAGGCTGCTCTCTTTTCAGAACAGGGGTGGCTTGAACCTGAGGCCTCCTGCAAACCTTTTGGGCGTGGCTTTGAGTAGTTTGGTCGCTCAGTGTTGACCGTACAGAGCAGGAACCGCAATGACTTACAATGCTGAATTTATGATATGAGCGGGGCGGGCAGATCGTATATTGATTTTCCTGAGTGTCGGAAGCGAAGCAGATGAAACAGGATGTAGTTGCATGTAGTTGTGTTTAATCTACCCTCTATCTGTGTCTTTTGGCTTCAAAGATAAGTGGTCTTGTCTCTCTCTGCGGGTGCTGCTCGGTCAGTAGAAATAAAGTTCACTTTAAATTCTATTGAAAGCTTCCTCTACATTGGAATGAGTACCAAAAGTGGAAGAGTACTTTTCAGAAAGTCTTTTTATAATTCTCAAATGCCTTCTTAATATCCCTTGAGAGGGCAGTGTTCTCAAATTGCTCAGAATTGTTGCTAGTTTCATTACTGGCTGTTATAACAACTTAAAGTTTTCTCCCATAATGCAATCAGGTTACTGTATGTCTCTTCCTTACTTGCATCATAAGCCTCCAAAGCTTGCCTCTACAAAATGATGAATGCATGGGGCAGGGGGACACCAGCTCTAACAACATGGGATTGGAGGTGATGGCATGGGCAGAATGGGGGGCTGTGGGGGGGGGGGCAGCATGGTGTCTGTTTTATCTTGATTACATGCAGGTGACTCATAAGTGGGATCTCTGTCAGACATAATGACAAGTGCTGTAGTTTTAATGTCTTGTTGGAAATCTGCAGAAATCTGTAGTTTACTTTTATTTGCAAAGCAGGCTGAGCTGGGGAGCTGAATGTCTATTGCAATGAGGCAGCTAGAGCAGCAGCCTGGCTCACACTGAAAGTTCATCACAGTCATGCTTCACTCAGTGCACAGACAAGATTATGATATGAGATCCGTGGACCCATATAGGTCTTAAATAATCTAAAAAAGACACTGTAATAAAACAGAAATAATGACTAGTACTTTAGACAGATAATGTAAAAGGAATGTCCAGGCGAATAAAACGCAGGATCTTGCAATAGAAGCTAGTAAGCCCAGGATCAAATGGTAAAATTGCGCACTCACCGGACGCACTATGTAAAAAGCGCATATGTAGTATGACCCCTGAAAATCCCTCATCAAGCGGGTACAGTGGGTAACCATCCGGGAGCACACAGCAGGCGATTCTTGGTAAAAAAGGGAAGGAACAGCTTCCAAAATCCAGAGGTCCTCTTTAGCTTAGAATGGATAATAAGCGAGGAACTCCCTCCGGTGGCCAAAATGGAAATAGGTGTCCTAAAAATAGTTAGCTCCAAATAGGAGCCCAAAAAACACCTCATAGTGTAGTAGGTAAAATCAAGAACATTTATTTGTAATAGTAAAACAGGGCAGAAACACTTAATCAGTAAATGAAAAACTAGTGTAACTGACCAAAAAGGCCTGCCCCCTCAAGTGGCCTCCCCTCTGATGATGTGCTGGAGCACGAAAGGCCTTTAGGAGGAGCCAGCAGAGCGTGACATCGTAGCCGCCCGGAGCCAGGGAGGCCCTGGCGGCCATATTACTTTTGGTCAGTTACACTAGTTTTTTCATTTACTGATTAAGTGTGTTTCTGCCCTGTTTTACTATTACAAATAAATGTTCTTGATTTTACCTACTACACTATGAGGTGTTTTTTTGGCTCCTATTTGGAGCTATTTTTAGGACACCTATTTCCATTTTGGCCACCGGAGGGAGTTCCTCGCTTATTATCCATTCTAAGCTAAAGAGGACCTCTGGATTTGGAAGCTGTTCCTTTTCCCATTTGATCCTGGGCTTACTAGCTTCTATGCAAGATCCTGCGTTTATTCGCCTGGACATTCCTTTTACATTATCTGTCTAAAGTACTAGTCATTATTTCTGTTTTATTACAGTGTCTTTTTTAGATTATTTAAGACCTATATGGGTCCACGGATCTCATATCATATTCATTAGCGCCGCACTTTATTTTCTGTGTATTTTTGAAGGTTTTGCTGTGATTGCCTTGGGTGCATTGGCTGATGATGTGGGAGCGCTCACTTTCTTGTTTTTCTCCACAGACAAGATTACTGTTCTTCATACAGGAGAATGGTTACTCACAGTTCTGAAGTTGCAGAGATGGCTGTGTGATGAATTCTCATGGAGATTTACTGGAAATTTACTGTTCTGTCTTGGCATCGGTTGTACTTGTGGCGAGATTCGTTTAGACCCAGTCTGTCAGAATGTGTGCAGCAAGTTGAATGATCGCCTTAACAGATAGTTTACTCAATGAATAACAACTTCAGAGGTATTTTCCAATGCTTCTTTATGCTTCAAGGTAACAAAGGTGTGAACATAAAGGTGTTTTCATAGGTAAATTTCCAGTGATGTACATAGCCTCCTCACTCTACAGCATCTTGATAACCACTAAACTAAAATGGTGTTACAACAGGAAATGAAGGTGGAAGCAACCAACTAGTCAGAAACAGCAGGGGTGTGTGGATGATACCAAATAACATTATAATATAACATGTAAATAACAACTGCTAAACAGTAAAGCTGCGTGGCAGCACAACGGTACTTAATAATCTTCATAGACAACTGTTTAAAGCATTTACTGGTTACCAGTTTAGAGTTACACAGGAGGTCTGGTGCTAGAATTCTTGCTCCAACTACAGTGATACCTCAGTTCATGAACTTAATTCGTTCCAAGACTCTGGTCGCGAACTGAGGCAAATTTTCCCATAGGGTTCACTGGAAATCAGGTTAATTCGTTCTGATCCCTAGGACGTTGTTGCGAACCGAATCTGGTCACCAACCGAATCACATTTTTCCATAAGGTTCAATGTAAATAAGGTTAATCCGTTCTGAGCCTTTATTTTGTTGTTTTTGAACCACAAAAATATGAAACAAAGTACAGTACAGTATGAAGAGGGAGAACACCAAACTTGCTTGAGACAACTTCTGGTGTGGAGGACAGGAAAGAGGATGGGAGGCAATTAATGTTCGGAGGGAGAGTCCTCCTCCATAAGGACATTGAAGAGATCTTCAGGGGTTCCTCTCTTTGTCTCTTAGCTGCAGGTTCAGTTTTGGTGAAAAATCTGTCCAATGTCACTTGTCTTTTCCTGCATTACATAACCCTCTGGAAATGAGAGACCACGTTATCGTTCATCAGATTCAACACTCTGTTCATTACAGTTGTTGGGGTGGTGCTTCTGGTCTCCTTCCTTACAGCTCTGCACGTTCCGGTCCCCTTCATTACCGCTCTGCACGTTCTGCTCCCCTTCATTACCGCTCTGCACTTTAACAACATGCTTGCTCTGCACATTCTTGTCACCTTCATTACCGCTCCGCACTTTCTTCTTACCACCATGCTTGCTCTGAATTTTCTATGGAGCCATATTGGATGTCTGGTACAGTATGTGCTAAAAAAGCACTCAAAAAAGCTTTACAGCAAGTGTGCACACCAAAAAGCTTCTCAGTAATCCCAGTGTCTTCACAGTACTTTCAGTGTCTGTCTGTGACCACGATCTCGCCTACAGGAAGTCATGACAACATGTCAGAGCAGGGAAGATGGCCGTGGCTCGTGATCATGAACTGAAGTTTGCAAACCGAAGAAAATATTTGTGAACTCTTCTGTTCGTGAACAGAGGTATCACTGTATAACGTTTGCACCCATACACGAACACAACCTACATATGCGTGAGCAACCTACATATGCATTTTCCTTTGTGTGCAAGAACAGGGGGAGGGGAGGGGTGAACAAGGGATGTGAACAACAGGTTGTCAAAGGATGAACACGGTATCCCCACTTCTAATGTCCTATAGGGTTGAAGAGGTTAAGTGCAGGGATGGATACTGCTCAACCAACCCCAGGAGTCCAATGTTAAGGAATGGCCTCAGCCACTGTTCTGGCCATGCCCTTTGATGTGTTTTGCCTCGCCCAACGGGGAGACTGATCACAGAGGTTGAAGCAGTTAAACTATGTTTGGCAGAATCAGACTCTCTCTGCAAATTATTAATAAGAAAGTCTGTTTTATTACAATAGGTATAAGTCTACTCACCGTCCCCTTCTCAACTGCTGCCACTGTTTCTCCTCTGGGGTGAAGGGGTCATTCTTGTGCTTCATCACTATAGGGACATAACATGGCACTACAGCTTTAGTACAACTCTCCACAAACTGGAGGAGGTCCTCCTTAGATGGAGAGTCCAGATCATCGAAGAAGATGCCTCCAACTCCTCTACGTTCTCCGCGGTGCTTAATGAAAAAGTAATCATCACACCTACAAAAAAAAGACATATATTAAATATAATATATACATACATACATACATACATACAGCATGAGGGTCCAATGGTTCACAATTAAAAAAAAAAAAAAAGAAGAAGGAAGAAGGAGGAGGAAGAAGGAAGAAGGAGGAGGAAGAAGGAAGAAGGAGGAGGAAGAAGAGAAGAAGAAGGAGGAGGAAGGAGGAAGAAGAAGGAAGGAAGGAAGGAAGGAAGGAAGGAAGGAAGAAGAAGAAGAGGAAGAAGAAGAAGGAAGGAAGGAGAAGGAAGAAGGAAGAAGAAGAAGGAAGGAAGGAGAAGGAAGGAAGGAAGGAGAAGGAAGGAGGAAGAAGGAAGAAGAAGGAAGAAGAAGGAAGGAGGAAGAAGGGAAGAAGAAGGAAGAAGAAGAAGAAGGAAGAAGAAGGAAGAAGAAGGAAGAAGGAAGGAAGGAAGAAGAAGGAAGAAAGAGGAAGGAAGAAAGAGGAAGGAAGAAAGAAGGAGGAAGGAAGAAAGAGGAAGGACGAAAGAAGGACGAAAGAAGGAAGAAGAAAGAAGGAAGAAGAAGGAAGAAAGAAGGAAGGAAGAAGGAAGGAAGAAGGAAGGAAGAAGGAAGGAAGAAAGAAGAAAGAAAGAAGAAAGAAAGAAGGAAGGAAGAAGGAAGGAAGAAAGAAAGAAAGAAGGAAGAAAGAAGGAAGAAAAAGAAGGAAGAAGAAGGAAGAAAGAAGGAAGAAAGAAGGAAGAAGAAGGAAGAAGAAGGAAGAAGAAGGAAGAAGAAGGAAGAAAAGGAAGAAGAAGGAAGAAAGAAGAAGAAAGAAGGAAGAAAGAAAGAAGAAGAAGAAGGAAGAAGAAGGAAGAAAGAAGGAAGAAGGAAAGAAGAAAGAAGGGAAGAAAGAAGGGGAAGAAAGAAGGAAGAAAGAAGGAAGAAAGAAGGAAGAAAGAAGGAAGAAGAAGGAAGAAGAAGGAAGAAGAGAAGAAGAAGGAAGAAGGAAGAAAGAAGAAGGAAGAAAGAAGAAGGAAGAAAGAAGAATCAAAGATGTGTGTGTGTGTGTGTGTGTAATATATCATCTTTTTGTATACCTACTTGAGGCTCAACTGGGTCAGCTACTCAATAGGGTATACAGAGGGAGGGGAAAAAAAAAAAAAAAAAAAAAAAAAAGGGGGATGTAGATATCTATATATAGCCTTATATCACCTATCTCAATTTATGTATTTTAACCCTTTCCCTACTCTATTTAAAACAAAAAAGCTTTTGCATACTTTAAACCACTGTATAGAAGTTATATATAATAGAAGCCAAAATCCAATAGTAAAGAGAGTTCAAGATGTTTTTTGATGGTTCTGGCAGCTGTAAAAAGAAGAACTGCTAAAAGTTACCCAGTAAGCAGAATGGACAGGACTGTGCTCATGAGCATACTGTGTGTTTGCTGATAAAAGAAGAATGCTCCCTGTCAGAAGTCAGCCTACCCTAACGCACCCTCTTTATCTGACAACTCCAGCATGTGTGTTATACACAGTTAAAACGGGTGAAACATGTAATATGTTCCAAAGGTGAACTTATCCTTCAAAGGAGGAATATGTAACATGCTCCCATAGCCACACCTGCCACCTCCCTCCCTCTGACAGATATTACAGGGCGAAGTCTCCCCATATTATCTGTCAGATTTGAAAACAGCGTGGCTATGCGGGGCTCCGCCCACACGGCCGCATCACTCATTCACAGTGTTCTGTGAAGGAGTGCCTACAACTCCTGACAGCCTTAACGGCTGTGGGCTTGTAGTTTTCAAATGAACAGCACCGTGGTAGTTCATTGAAGCTTCCGGTCAGTATATCTGCTTGCTCGTACATCCCATCTACTGATCGCTGGTGCAATGCTTTACAGTCTCCTTTGGACATAAATAATAAATGCACATTTTTTTACCTTCAAAAAAAAAAAAAAAAAAAAAAAAAATGTGCATTTATTATTTCTGTCAAAAAGGTGAACTTATCCTTTAAGACCCCATATACAAGATGTTCATTATAGAAAGAAGATTTAGTGTGGATGAATGAAGTTCTGTCTATGTGGCAAGTGGCAGTTAGTAAGCCAAATGGCTTGTTCCATTCATTTAATTTATGAACTGTTGCACAATGACAGATTAGAGCAGTCATAGATGGCCAGTTAGGAGCCTGATGACTTTAAGAA